CTAGTTAAGCTCAATCCAGGATGTTAGTGACTGGGAGTTACCATTTGAACTGCATCAACTGAGTATGGTTACAAACTCATGTCATGAATTTCTCTCTGGGCAGGATGGGGAGCTAGTGAATGGAGTGAGTTGTGCAAGCAGTGCTTTCCCACTTCAGGGAATGGAAAGATATGCATCCAGATTTAACTTGGACAGATTTTAAGACATTTGACAGAAATAAACTGTGGTGCAGTGGGATTACTTGTTTTGTCCTTTTAAAGAAAAGGGATGATGTTTGCTGGGCGGGGGGGCAAAAATCCCAATATCGTCTTTATTAGTCATAATTTTATTCAAATGTGAATAATGTTTGCAATAATATTTGTAACTTTGTTAAGTTCTGCACCTCGGATGACATGGCCCAGGGCACTGGTGTTGTCTGGCTGTCTTTTTGGGACAGTTGTGGCTGTATCTGCATCTTCCCTCTGCTGCAGATTGCTCTGTATGGAGGGGGATGGGACTGGTCAGCACATACACGGGGACTTTGTTCTGGTTTTAAAACTCCTTTTTTTTAAAGGGACAGTTCCCTTTTGTTTTTAAACATTTAAAAGCCTTTTTTGCATATACCTGTCACAGTACTCAACACAACCAACATTTTTTTTCTGTGGAACTATATAGCTCCTATTACAGAACTAATGTGTTTGGACCCCCTTGAGAAAGGAGCCACTTGGAAAAATGAGTCACAGTTGATTTCCAAATCTTGAAGTGATGGGTATGTGATTTTTTTTCCCCTCTGAATTTTTGAAACCATTTGTCAGAGAAGATAAGCTTCAGCCTTGGTTAAAAAGAAGCAATCATGGCAAAACAGTTTAGCAGTTCAAGTCAGAGCCAGAGAAACTACCACCCATATGAAAGGTCAGGCATGCTGTTCTCTACCTTTTTTTTCAGTTCAGTCATTTTTTTACTTCTTCCTGGAAGTAGTTGGTAATGCAGAGTTTGGTGAAGTGTAGTGTCCTAAAATAGACTTCTGCATTTTGAAAATACATCTGTTCAGTAGAGCAATTAGTGATTATGTATTGGGTTGTTTTTAAGGGAATTCACGTTTTTCTGTAAGGCTATTACCAAGGTTATAATTGTTCTTACCTCATTTTGTCTGTCTGTCTTTCAGGAAAACATTACCAAGCAAAATTTATAGCAGAAACTAGAACTTACTCATAACCTAGTATAGTGAAATGGAGACTATATAGCATCATCATAGTTTTGAGCAAAAGAAAATCTCAGTCTCTTTCCTGTGCTAGTAATTAACTCTCCTGCTTCAGCTGAAGTCCTGTTTCACACGATGGTTTTCTCATCTGTGTATGTTATTATAATAGAAATAATACTTAAGATTTTCAGACAAAAGATGATGAGTAAATTATCATCATTACCAGATTTCTTGGCTGCCTAATACTAGGTTCAGGGACGTTATTACTTATGTGAATGGAAATGGACTTCAGTGCAGCAGTACTGAATACACACATCACAGCTGGCGTAGCAGGAGGTAATTGAGTGTTTAAGTGTTTGCATGGGTCCATGGATTTTGTAGCTGGCCTCACAGCAGCTGTGTTAATGTTGACTCTTTTTGTTCCTTGAACTTCTGAAACTTCCACACCCCCATGTAGATTTAGTTCTTTCATTTCTATTATGAAAATGAACTCGGGGAAATAAGGATTTGGTGCACAGGGATGGGTATTTAGAAAAAGGATCCTTGAGCATGTGGAGAACACAGGAGGAGAAACGCAGCGTATGCAGGGCAGCCTTGACAGCTGGTGGGAGGGTTTAATGAGCAAGGGGCCAAGGGTCCTGCGTGCCCAAGGCAGCACGGCAACCAGATCCAGACTAACACTGTCGAGTCCAGGATTTGCAGTGTAATGACTGTAGCTATCTTGAGAGCCAAGGGGGTCTCTTCTAGGGCTGGAGTTGTCTAGAAGAGGGTTTTTCATGTGTTCTTGCCTATGGCTGCCACCAGTTGCTAGTTTTCAGGTATTGGTCAGAGGCAGTATCTGTTAAACGCTATATCAAAGTTGAATGACCCTTGCTGGAAAGTAAATGCAAGTTTTCTACACAGCAGGTTTGAATGTGAGAGCTCTGAATTAAAATGAAACACCTCTTTAAGGGTTGAAAGCCAGGCTTTAGGTGTCTGTGAAGAAACTAAAGGCTGTGTGAGAACATCTCAGAATAAAGGTTTAAAGAAATAATCTGGTAAAAGTAGTGGTTACATCTTACTCAAAAGCTATCAGTAGCTCTCCTTTTCCAGAATGGAGATAGCTTTTTTTAAATGGCCTGTAACCTCACCAACTTTATCTTTATCTTCATCCTCTTGTCTTCTGTTGTTCATTATTCTGTCCCCATTGTAAGCACAAATGCTTCTGTCCCAGAGAGCATCTCTTGCTAATATAACAGTTGCGTAATGTCGGATTTGTCGTGTTGGGTCAGGTCATTTGCTTGGTATTGCTCATGAAGCTGGTGAAATTAGTGTGAATTTACTCTGTTATGCCTCTTGCTGTTTTATATTGTGCAGATGTAGGTCAGGCAAAGTGAAAAGAATGGGAGTTTTGAGTGTCTCTTAGTCCTTTTACCCTGTCAGAGGTTCTCGTTGACTCTGTTCCTCTCCAGAAAATGCAACAGAGATAAATTAAAATGGATGATGTTTTTCCTCCCTTTGTGGTTATGGTTGTCTTGTGCCTTCCTTTTTTCTGCTTCATTCTATTTTGTTCTTCCTTCATCTCCACAAAGGAAAGCCTTCACAAAGCTTCAGAAATGCATGATGCTCGCATGCTGTATGGGCTGTGCCAGCACTGAGTCTACCTTTTATTTAGTCTTGTGTCCCTGAGTTGTGAGGCTGAGGAGCCACTGCCATAAAATACTGAAGGTCAACGTTACATTGACAGTGGCTTTGCCACAGATTATTTAATTTAGTTCTGGGGGATGGCTGACAATGCTACAGGTTGGGAATGGCTCGTGGCCAGTTTTGCCTTCCTCTTTGTGTGGCAAAGTAAAATGATTCAGTTAGATGCAGTCAGTAGTTGTCTTGAGGCATGGGTTTGCCAAGTATTAAAAAGGGGAGACTAGTTAATAAAGACTAAGGACTAGACTGATAATGATAGGAAAGTGTGAAAAGACGCAGAGAGTGAAACTATCGTTTAGCATGTATATGTATCCTTAGGCAGCTAGGTGCCTGTACAGATTTATTCCCATTTCACTGAATTTGTTGTTAGTGTTAGTCAGCCAAGGTCAATGTCTTCCTTGCCTGAGTTAACAGTAGGACTTCCTTGTAGCATTCTGTACTTCTGCTGAGGAGGCAGCAACAGAAGCCTTCTAATGATGTGCTGGTGTGTTGCACATATTTGGTCTGTTAGAACGATGGTTCATCGTTTTGATAATTAACAGAATCCAGTAGGTCTGAGGTAGGTATTTTTAACTTCAGGTGCTTTTAAGAAGGGAAGACATGAACAGCTAATCAACAGTTGGTTTAGAGTTCTTATTCAAAATTACATTGTTATTTTGCTATACAGTCAATGGTAATGGGGTTGTATATTTTATTGTTCATCAACAAGATATCTACCCATCTTCTAGCGGTATGCTGTTAATATGCCAAGCAAATGGCACGGTTGGTTTGTTCTTTGTCTCATTCTCTCAAGAGAGGATATTGTGTTTTGTGGTATAGCATTTTGTTCTGATAGATTTAGAAATGGGTGTATACCCTGCACTCATTTATACTGGCAAAGGCAAGAGTGAAGTGCATTTTGCCCTTGGAGTGAAAAGTGGTGACATTGGTGGGAGGTATTGTTCCAGGGAGAATTCTTGTCACAGTCTTGCACCTGTCTCAGCAAAGCTGTACTGGCTTTACTGGTTACTGGTGTGACCAGTTACATCACTTACCTCTGGCTTGACAGAGCATGGCATGGCATGGCAGCTTACCCTTCACTGCAGGCAGCTGCACCATATGAGGGAACAGAGCTGTGGACTTTAGGTGTCCTTCTAAGCAGCTTGGATTGAGGCAGTTTGAAGGCAGAGATAATGACCTAAGAGAGAGACCACTTGCATTGATGTGCTTGGGGCATGTACTCAGTATTGTGAAGTTTTTTGTGAAACATTTCCTATGCCAACTCTGCTAGAGTCATATCCAGAGTTCTTCATGTTTGATACCTGAAAGTCAACGCTTTCTCTTTAGAAGTCATCTTTGTAAATATTCTGGTAGTTTGCAAGTCTTTGTTTTATTATTTCTTTATTGAACACCCCCACCAAAAAGTGTTTCCAAATCAAGACTCTTTATTTTTTATTTTTCTTGTTTGTTTTGAGTTTGGTGTGGTTTGTTTGGTTTGGTTTTTTTTTTTTTTCCTAATCCTTTCCCTCATTTTCTAACTTCTCCTTCCCCCAAAGACTGACAGTGGGTTCCTCACACTTCCCAGTTCTCAATTCCACCCTGATTAACGTTGAGTCCCATTGGGAAAATGTATTTTATTTTTCTTCCATTCCTATTCTATTGCAGATTTTGACTTGAACTATTTTTGGCATTGGAGCAAGTTTACAGACTACGTGCAGTGTGTCCTGACCTTCACTGGTGTGACCGGTTACATCACTTACCTCTGGCTTGACTCATCTCTCTTTGTGGAAACGCTGGGCTTCCTTGCTGTGTTCACTGAGGCTATGTTAGGTGTTCCCCAGCTCTACCGTAACTACCAGAACAGGTCTACAGAAGGAATGAGGTATGGTGTTTCTTATGTAAAACAAGTAAGCGTGTGCCTGTTGGTAAATCTTTGTGTAGCGTGGGAATACTTTTCTAGGCAGGGCAATGTCATCTTTCTAAATTTTACTTGAAAACACAACAGCTGTCGGAGTAAATTCTCTGTCAGTAGGAGCTGGTACAGTACTGCTAAAGGCAGTGGGAGCTTCATTACACCTCTGAGGGCTGACCCATTGTCCAAGTCCAGCTGGACAGTTCTCAGGTGAAACACATTTTAGTAAAATAGACATGTAAAACTACTGCTGTTGCCATTAGCAACATATTGTAGTTCAACTCAAGCTGTGCTACACTGGTAATTAGAAATAGACTAAAGAGATCTTGCATATCAAAAGTAATAGAGGAAGAAAATACTTTGAGCTGGTAGTAAGTAACTCTGTCAATCTAATTCACATATTAGCTCATCACTTTTTCTCACATTTCTACTCATCAGTTTTTCCTAATACATTATTATGTATGTAGCAAATCACATCAGTATTTATTTATGTGTCAAAGCTTGTAACTGACATTTAAAAAAGCTCAATCTAGCCGTTTACAGTCAACACTGGGAAACCCTCTGAAAACAAGTGTGAGACACAAAACTTTAATCTTGTGCCCACTATAGGGGCTTTAAATTAGATTATCTTTTCATACTGTTTACTTGATATCTCAATCATAACACTAAAATTTCCAAATTGCAAAGCTTATGTAAAGCTTATCAAGAGAGAAAATGTTCACTGTGGTGCATCAGTGCACTGATCTGTAGAAACAGTAGCGCAGCAAATTCAGTTCACAGAATGCTGTGATCATTTGTGACTTTAACTGTCTTCTCTTTCGTTGTTTTGAAATTACTTCTCTTTCATTGCTTTTAAACTTGCTGGGATAATTTTTACTTTGGTCAAAACAAATAAACACTCCTCACCACCCCCAAACCAAAACAGTTCTCTCCTTTGTTGACATTGTTCCCTTTACTTGTTTGGCTTGGAGGCACTTCTACTAGCTACTTCAAGTTCTTTTCTAGCTTGAAATGCTGTTGAGGGAATGTTCAGAAATTTGCTTTGATGCTTAAGGCGTTTTTTGATTGGGAGCCCCTTTGGTACAGAGTGAGTCAGGATTTACTTCCAAAATATTGGGGTATTTTTCATGCACACCCTGCCTTGGAAAATTCTGTACCTGTGATATCCAGAAGGCAATTTACCTAGCAGACCTTCTTTATGCTCTGGTTTGACTTTCTCCTTTATGTTTTTTATCTATGAATCATAATGCTATAATGCCACATTATGATAGCAGCTGCCAGATAGTGTTTTGTTCTTCCTTACCTCCTCTCTGGGGTCCTGAGTTTCAATTTTCCAATTTCCTGTATATGCTACTTAGAAAAAGGAGAAAAAAACCCCTTTGTGCTTCACAACAACACTGTCTTTGTAAAGCATTGCAGAATTCTTATCTAAAACTGCTTGGCAAGATAGTGCTGTGTTTAGTCAAGAAAAAATAGCACAAAAGCTCTCATTCCCTTGCCATCAAACAGAACCAGGTCCAGTGATAGCTACCCTCCTTATCAGCTGTGCCCACAGGTTTTCCAGAATGCATTCTCCTCTCTGGTTCTACTCTTGAAGTGGTACTTTGTGCGGCATTGGACATCAATGGGTCTGGGGACTGATGGGACAATGTACAGCTTATGCTGCTTTACTGCAGTTGGAGTATGTTCATGCAAACGCACATGTTAGTACCTGTTTCAGGTTATACTGCAGGTATATGTATGTATTTTATATATGTTGCAGGTACCATGTATACTTTCTAGCATCATACAATCCTGAGTTGACCTGATGGTCTGTAAGCATTACTGGGCTGTTCCTACTCTGAGTGTGACTTCCACTAGTCTATTACCTTTTGTTGAAGGAGCTGTTGGAAATATTTCCTCTGAACTTCCCTTCCTGTGCTGGCTTCTCTGTCTAAAAGCACATCAGAGAAGAGACCCCAGTCCTGGAAGCACTGAAGGGAGCATGTAACAGTCCAGCCAGGCTACTCATAGGACTAAGTTTATGAACTTGCCATAGGTATTTACCAGATGGGGGCTAGTTGATGCCTACTGCTCTGTGGAGTTATTTACTGCTCAGTGCAGAAATAACATGCATGTGGATGGTTACACTGTCAGAAGCAATTGAACTGGTGATCCTCTGCCCATCAGCTGGGCCATAATGGCTGGCTGCCGGACATTCTCTTAGCAAGTGTCAGTGGCAAAGTCAAATAAATGAGTTCAAGTGTCTTTGTGGCTTTAAGCTTAATGGGGAGAGCAATGAGAATTAAGCTGTTCTATTTAGTGACCTTTTTGACAATTATGACATCCGGGTTGGATGGAGTAACTTCTTAGACGACAATAGTCCTGTGACCTGTGGTGCATGAGTGGAGCCTGTGACCTGTGGTGCATGAGTGGAGCCCATGCCAGACTACTGCCAGACAAGGTGGTGTTTGGAAGTCCTCATGGCTTAGCTGAGAAAAGCAGCAACATGCATCTGTCTCTGAATTGGGGCAGAATCGGACACTGCAGCTGATATGTTAAGTCTATTTCTACTTTAGCAAATAATTCCTTTCCTAAATGTAAACTGACAAATTAGAAATGGAAAATGAGGTTATAGTATGTGGCCACATCTGATCAGGGTATCCTGCCAGACTCCTCAAACATTGTGTTGTTTCTAAAGAAAAAAGGTGGCAAATAAATAACCCTACAGGCCCCCCACCCCAATCACCCCTTTCTGTTTAAACGAGAAGTTGGGGATATCTCATGCTTGAGGTAGTAATCATTTCCTGATAAACAAACTTGGAGACTAGAGGCCATGAGAGAGGTAAATGTAACAGGTGGCTGTGGTGCCAGGCAGGGTGTCTGTACCCTTTGAGAGTCTGTTGAGAAAAAGGGTCCCATCATTCTTGCCTCTGTATTTCAATCTGCTACTGCCTGAAAAGTCCCCTACTGAAAATGTGCTCAGTGTCTGAGGCAAACATCCAGAGGACATCTGCAGCTGAGTCAGTTATGTTTATTGTAACAGGGCATGGCTGGAGTGAAAAAAATCAGAGTTATGTGCATTGTAGTACTCCTGAGAATGAGTCTTCCAGTTCTTTGTTACCTCTATTCTGTTGGATAGAGCTCCTCACTTCTTGTTTTTATTTATATCTTCATTTCTCCCTACTTCTCTTCTTTTTGTAGCAATATCACTACTAGGTCCTGTAGTTTCCTCTGTTCTCTGAGAGTGCAGAAACCAAAGGGGAAGTTGGAAAGAGATGGAAACCATAAAAGCAGAAAGGAGATGCATGCTGAGTAACAGCTTTTGTGGAGGGAAAATAGCGTAATATGCCCTGGTGGGCTAATGACTGAAGAGTGGAAATTTTCCCATGATTAAGTAAACAGAACTAAGCCAGTCAAAGGAACAGAAATTCTCATCATGTTCTCTCTGACAATTAACCTGATTATTTTTGGAATTAGTACTTTATAGAAACTTAAAGCTCTGTTCAAGCATTTAAGTACTTTTGAAAAGTTGCAACCCTGAATAGTACAGGTCTATTAATTATGGTACTAACCTTGACAGAAGTGCTTTTTTTAATGAACTGTGGTACAAGTTAATACCTATCAAGGAAGTAATCAATCTCCATTGAGTTCAAGAACTAAACTAGTTCTGTTCTGTCACCTAGTAAAAGAGTAATTTAATGACATTAATTGTTACCGGGATGGATTAGAACCATGAGTATGATTATGTTTGCATCAGTTAGAAAAAGGAGGAAAGCAACATTGTAACTTAGGAGCTTTGAAATATAGGAGGCATCCCGTTATATGGGAAGAAGCATTATGAGGTTAAAAGATTACTCATCACTTGTAAATTCTTTTTGTATTATGTGGTAAAATATGTCAAGATCTTGATATCAAAACCTGCCCTCCCTCCATCTTCCAGGAGGCAGAGATGCCGACTCTGCTGCAGTTGGGATCTAATGCTCATATGACTAACTGCTTTTGCTTTGTGACAAAAGCCTTACAGACAAGAACCTTCTCTGTCATTTATCTTTGTGTCCTCACTCCTAAGATACTTGCCTCCCAGTCGCTTTGTCCTTCTAATAAACTGCAGTCATGAGAAAAGGTGGTGTTCAATGTGAAGCAGTGGAGATGGAGGGAAGGTTGGCTCTGGATCTGGCAGCAGCAGCGCTGCTGCACACAGAGGTAGGGACCTGCTGGTCAGTTCATGGGGAGAATTGCATCCTTGTGGGGACAACACCTTTTGTGGAGCTCCTGCAGGGGGGAAGCGTGTGCTTTTTGTGCAGGGGTGGGGAGAACCACATCTCTGAGGGAGGCATGGGCTCATGCAGGCACTGGTGTTACTATGCACCCTTCATAATCCCATCAGACCTCCCTCTACCAAAGGAGGAGGGTGGAGGGTGTTCCTCTGTATGTCTGTGACAACGCTGTAGGTGTGGTATCCTGCACTGGGATGTATTAACCCTGGACTGCACAAGGCTGGATTTGCTCCAGGGCAGTCTGTTGTATTGCATTCCTGGCTACTGCCTTGCCCTGCTCTGCTCCAGAAAAAAAAACCTGCCCAGCACTGAAAGTCTTTCACAAAAGCTCATCAAAATCACCTGACAGTGATCCTCTTTGTCAGTGGCTGCTCCAACCCCATGGAGCAATGGTTTCTTTTCAGTCAGTGCTTGGAGTTCAGAGCTGCTGGACGGTAGAATCTCCCCATGTCCCAGGAAGAGGTCTGGCAGCAGAGGTCTGGCAGTAGGACTGAGCTGGGCTGCATATCTTGAAGTCTCAGAAGCCACACTCCAGGTGATACTCAAATGAGCCCATCAATGGTTAGCTTGGAAGCATGTGGGTGCAAAAAGCAAGGTCCTCTTGCAGCAGTGGTTGAGCTCCTGGTGTGCACTGTTGTTTCTTCGCCTGCTGCACGCTGGGTGCGAGGCAGCAACGTGCTGTGCCTGGCTCAGGGATGCATGCGCAGCTGC